GATTTACCTCTTGATCGTACATTGACATTGGTGTTGAACGGATTTTGACTTTTGATCGATTTAAATCTTTGACTTTTGATCGATTTGTTTTAGAAAGATTTATTCATACTTTGACTTGTTGATTTAGTTGAACTTGACTTGTTGACTTTTTACGTCCGATTTTCATTTTGGAATTTTGACTAAGTGTTGAAAACATCCGATCTGAGAATTTTAATTCAAATTGATTTTTGTGCATTATCCGTATTGCATTTTGCTTAATCCGCATGAATTTTGCTTAATTGTATAAATTTGGTTAAGTGTTGATACATGATTTTTGTGCGATTTAGATTTGTTTGTGGTCCGGACTTCTAATCCGGATAACTTGTTGAAAAGTCTATCTTTGTTGTCCGGACTTTCAATTCGGATAAGCTTGACCGGATTCCTAATCCGGATAAGTATATGTGCTAAATTTCTCTAAGTGTTGAATGAGTGCATTTTTTTTTTGGAGATTATCAGATATATTTTTGTAAACTGATCCTTTAATTCAAACTTTGAACTGCAGTTGATCCTATTTCATACGAACTGATAATATGAGTTCACGGGAAGCAATGGCTATTGGTACTGATACCAAGCCACCTGTTCTGTTTCGYGGAGATTATAATCAGTGGAGAGATAGATTTCTGAATTTCATTGAGAGAATGAAAGAAGGAGATCTGATTATGCAATCTTTGCTGGAAGGTCCTGTTGTGTTCTTTCTAGAGATATCTGCTGATTTAGTAGAAGGCATACATGCTCAGAAAGTAATCAAAGAAAAGCATCAATATACACCTCAAGAAAAAGATAGAGCCCATGTTGATGTGCTTTGCAAGTCTTATATGATGCAAGCACTGACTAATGATATTTACACTAGTATTGACAGTCATAAATCATCAGATCACAACATGTGGGTTCAAATTGAAAAGATGATGATGGGTTCGAAAGTAGGAACTCAGCTGAAGATTACTAATTGTATTTCAGCATATGAAGAGTTCAAGGCTAAAGATGGTGAAAATCTTGATGATGTCTATGATAGGCTTGCCATACTGCTTAATGAGCTGACAAAGAATGGAATTTTTAAAACTACAATAGAGATAAATGTTAAGTTTCTTAACAATCTCCAATCAGAGTGGAAACCATTTGCTAATCATATCAGATTTAATAAGCAGTTATCTTATTACTAGATGGAACCTTGATACATGCAGTTGTAACCGTTAGTCAACAAGCTAGGTATAGAGGAAGAGGAAGAGGAAGATGTGAATGCTATCAAAATGTTTTAGCGGTTTGTGATTTTAATATGATATTCACATTTGTTTGGGTTGGATGAGAAGGCATTGCATACGATTCTCTACTTCTAACAGAAGTTACATTTAACCCAACTTCAGGATTTCTATTTCCCCACCAAGTATGTTTCATTTTTGCTTAATATTTGAACATCGTTAATTGTAGGTGTAAATATTATCTTTGTGATGTCGCGTATACCAATACTCGTGGATTTATGACCCCTTATCGCAATACAAGGTATTTGTTAGCAGACTTTCGACTGCCTTGGCTAAAGAAGAACGGTTCAATCATGCTCGTGCACAACTAAGAAATGTTATCGAGCGTGCATAAGGGGTCTTGAAAACAATATCTCCAATTTTAAGACAAATGGCTTCTTTCCTTTTCCCAGTACCAAAAAACATAGTGATTGCTTGTTTCGTAATCCACAATTTTATAAGGAGGTGTAATATTCAATATCGGTTTTTTATCTAATATGACGAAAACAACATGTTTACCATCAAAGAACAAGCTGGATGAATTGAAGACGAAAACATGGAGGAAGAAGATGTTAAAGAAACTAATGGGGTCCCTAAGGGAATGAATATATGACTAGTTTGCGTAATCAGATTGCAAATCAATGAATGTTGAATGCTTGAAATTAATATCTATAAGAAAACTATTTGTACGTAAACAATTATGCTAAAAGATTGAAATGACTTTTTGTTCTAAATTATGAAAATTGTAATATGTTAATATATTGAGTATCAACATATTTTCATAAGCTAAAAGGAATTAGAAGTTATATCTAAAAAGTTTGATAAATAATCATATTTAGTTAGCACTTAATACAATGTATCTGGTAAACAATAATTTTCAATCAACGCTTGCTCTAAATAGAGAGGTATACTGGTCTTTTTCAATTGATCATCACTTAATACAAAATTTCTGGTAAACAACAAAATCCAATCAACACTTACTCCAGTCAAACTTTTTACCCGGGTTAGCACTTACCCAAAATTTTTGGTAAAGAGCCCCTAAATGTATTGAAACGTAAGTATGGACTGATTACGATCAAGTGGTCAAAATGGAAATATCAAAAGTATGAGGGTTATATTGACAAATAACCAGAGTTTTAAGGTAAAATGTAAAGATAGCCCAAAATTATCATTCTTATCCACGGATGTTGCTCACACTCCCCACTTAAAAGGGCAAAAAAATGTCCTCATCGGCGCCGCCGCCGTCGTCTCTTTCGTTCTCATCTTCCCTATCATCGTCCTCCGAAAACTACCGGCATCTCCACTACCATCGCTGCATTCATTACCGCATCATTTCTCCTCGTTTCTTATTCCGATGTGCAATTACGTCAGCTTCATCAGTCGCTGCACCAAAGAAGAAGAAAATATGGAGGCAAGGGGAGTACCCCGGCAACGTGCCGGAAAATTCGAGCTTTGACATGAAGAAGAGAAGAACACCGATTAAGAACATTAAGAAGAAGCTGGATCGTAAGGATAACCTTAATCCGTGGGTAAAAACGGTTACCGAGGCCTTATCCGATTCTATCAACACAAAGCAGTGGTTAAGAGCCCTAGAGGTAAGTATATCGTCAAATCTGCAATCCTAAGTAATGACTGTATAAATTTAGTTTTTTTCTGAATCGATTCTTCCGATTTATGACTCAAGGAATCGTTATGTTACGATTTTGTGGATTGAGGTTGTTGCATTGTATTTGATAATTTCTCTTTTGCATGGTTTTGACTGTCTGAAAAAAGTTTACATTCAAGGGAGCAGATTATTCAAACATACCTCTTTCATTGATGCCCATGCTTCAATGATGCGCGTTTTCAAAGATTGTGTGTTCTTATCACACGAAATCAAAAGAAATTGTTGGGCCATTGAGTCCAGGGTTCATATGGAGTGCCCTTATTTGAAGTCTTTAGTCAATTTCATTTCTAATTCAGAGTTGATCGTTGTTTTATCAAGTTCAAAGAGAAAGATCGCAATCATATTTACTCGACTGCAGATAATCCGTTGTTTGAACTTTGTACTTGTTTTCTGACATGTCTATTTTTCATGGGTTCATGTTAGATAAATGGTTTGGGTACCGTATGGACTAGCTACTCTGGTAGCTTATTATGAAGTATGATAGAAGTTGTTCTCTTGATATAAATTCTTGGATATCAAGAGATTGATAAATATGTTTCCGAATTTTTGTTGATGCAACAATTGTTTGTCTCGTTTTCATTAGAATTCTGCAAACTAACACAACTTTGTCTCCAAAGAGGCACAACCTAAACTTAAAAGACTTGACTGCTACCATTGTGTAAAAGCCCAGTTGGTGGAACAGTTTGATTTGCTTTCCAGTCTCGTTTCAGTTAGGTCTCAAGGTTGACTTTACAGTTACTTCATTTCTCCCAAATGTGTAATGATTCCTTTGGGATCATTTCTTCTAACTTGATTGTTACCATTTAAAACTGAGCATAGTTCTGTTTGGGCATTCCAACAATTTCATGATTATTACATTTGATAGTAGACATGTTTGTTGTTCAGTAATTGCATGTTGATATTTCATCTGGTATCACATCTTCGGCTTTGATACCTACTTGGGTCATTTGTTTTGCTGCATCATGTGATCTGAATGACTGGAGTTTTATTACTTCTATGCTTTGTGTGCATATTCTGATATTTTATGTCTTAAATATATCAACCAATAGGGTTTGCATATAAATGGATTACAGGTTACTAAAATCGCATATCTCTGTTTGACAAGCAAAGGTCAGCTCTGTGTTTGAAATACTTGTTAAGTTTTCATTTGAAGTGACTTCTAAGGTCCATACTCTTATCTACCTTTTAAGAAACTGATTCTTTTTGATGAAAATTTCATCCCTTTACATGTGATTATAAGAAACAGAGATAGAAATAACCGCTGTAGTTTTTAGGATTTACTGTTCCCGTTTGGTTTGATTTGGTTGGTTTATGAAAGACAGATGGATGTATGCTTTTGGAAGCTGTAGGTGTTTGACTGTGGTCAATTGGAACAATTGAATTTCTCATTTCAGGTATTTGAAATGCTGAAGGAACAGCCATTTTATCAACCAAAGGAAGGAACTTATATGAAGCTCATTGTTCTACTTGGCAGATCTGGGCAACCCCAACATGCCCGAAAAGTGTTTAACACGATGATCGAAGAGGGACTGGAACCCACTGCAGAACTCTACACGGCATTGCTTGCTGCTTACTGCCGGAGTAATCTCATTGATGAGGCATTCAAGATTCTTGACCAAATGAAGAACCTTCCTTTTTGCCAACCAGATGTTTATACATTCAGTATCCTGATCAAGGCTTGTGTTGATGCTTCTCGATTTGATCTCGTTGAATCTCTCTATGAACAAATGGGTGAAAGATCAATAACTCCAAATACGGTCACCCAAAATACAGTTCTCGCTGGCTACGGAAAGGTCGGGAAGTTTGATCAGATGGAGAAAGTGCTTCTTGGGATGCTAGATAGCAGTACATCTAAACCAGACGTGTGGACAATGAACACGATTCTCAGCCTGTTTGGCAACATGGGTCATGTTGAAACGATGGAGCAATGGTATGAGAAGTTCAGAAACTTTGGAATCGACCCAGAAACACGAACCTTTAACATCCTGATTGGTGCATACGGAAAGAAAAAGATGTACGATAAAATGTCAACAGTGATGGAGTACATGAGAAAGCTCTCGTTTCCATGGACAACATCTACTTACAACAATGTGATAGAAGCATTTTCAGACGTGGGTGATGCAAAGAACATGGAGTACACGTTCGACCAGATGAGAGCAGAGGGTATGAGGGCCGACACCAAGACCTTTTGTTGTTTGATTAGAGGTTATGCAAATGGGGGACTATTTCATAAGGTGATAAGCGTCGTTCAGTTAGCTGGGAAATTGGAGATACCCGAGAACACGTCTTTTCATAACGCAGTAATATACGCTTGTGCAAAAGCGGATGATCTGATGGAAATGGAGAGAGTTTTCAAGAGGATGAAGGATCAGCAATGTAGACCAGATGCAACAACCTTCTCTATGATGGAGGAAGCTTATAAAAAGGAAGGCATGAATGACAAGGTTTATGATTTGGAACAGGAGAAACAAAGGATGTTGAATTCCAATATGATATTTGTTTAATCAAAAGTTGTATTGTATATAGAGGTTTGTTTAGATTTGGAAAAACCAAAGTTATCAGCCAGTGTTTTTGTATGTGTACCAACATCTTCATCCTCATTAACCCCTGTTTGAAAAGTTGACCCAATTGCAAGAGCGGAGCTCCCCCAACTGAGCTATATCCCCCGAACCAAAGTGGAGCATGCATGTAGGAAGGATCCGGGAGTTCCTGAGCCAAGATTGAGACCTGTTTTTGACTTATTCTAAAGGATGCAGAATTTGCAATAAAGACGTAACATTATTCCAACCACCAATAAGACATATAATGTACCCATTGCAGCTTAACGAAACTGATGCATAAAACAACAAATTAATTGTCCAAGATACATGATGGGTTCGTCCAAATTATAACAAGAAAGTAGATACATTGTGGGTTCATCCAAGAAAATAGATTCATTATGGGTTCATCCAAGAAAATAGATACATTATGGGTTCATCCAATAAAATAGATACATTATAGGTTTATCATATTATAACAAGAAAATAGATATATTACGGGTTTATCCATAATTATAACAAGAAAATAGATAAAACCCTCGATTTCTTTATTTTAAGCTTATCTACGTAGAAACGTTGCTTCCAATTAGCATAAGCCCACATAGAATTGTGATGTGGAAACTACAATCGCAAGGGTACAAAAAATTAAGACAATGCCAACAATCAAGACTTCAAAAATCATGAAAGAGGTGCATTAGAACAAGGGTCATGGCTTTCTTTTTAGGGTACTATACTTCCATAAATCATCAAATTTTGAGTTGGTTTATCTGATTATGAATTTCGTAACTGCAGCAAACGCATATGTAAACATGATTTCTTTTTTTGCTTTTGAAGGTTTTATGTTTGATGAAAGCTGTGCAAATACTATCCCTAAATCTAATAAATAGCCATTGAATAGGTATTGAAGGAACCCATAATGTAAGTAAACAAAAACAATAGATCGAAGGAAATGAACCTTGAATGTTTTTGAATCTGCTTGTATCCTGAAGAACATAAACAACAAAACTTGGTTTAAATATATATTCATGTAAATCTGTTGAAATTGATAAGGATATGGATGAAGGTTTTGAAATCGATAGATAGAGATGTGTAAATCCTGATGGACTCTGTTGTTAGCAGATTTGAAGGGTTTATGAAAACTGTTTGTTAGTGCACGACAAAGGCTTTATGGAAAACTGTTAGGATCTAAGCGCTTACTACTACGCCAAAAGCAATTGTTGGTGGAGAAGGCGCAACTTATTTCCTTATAGCGTAGCAGCCAGCGCTACGTTTCGATTTAGGAAGATGCTGGTCAATGACCCAACAAAAACGACGTGACCTCATCGTCGCTTCCAAGACTTAAGGTTTGGCCTCGCCGCGACGCCATGCCTCTCGCTATTTAGAACCTTGCTTTGTGGCGAAGCTTCTTTGATTTTCTTTCTAGAATGGCATATGGTCCTTCCATACTACGGTGGCGTTTGTTTTTTAAGAGGTGCTGAAGTCTGAAGTCTGAATTCACTTCTAAATTTTAAGAGGTGGTGCTGAAGTCTGAAATCTGAATCAGTCAGACTGTTTGTTTTTACGTCTGAAATCTGAATCAATTCATTTCAATTAAATTTAACTGAAATATCCAATCATTTAAACGAAATTGGTGTTCAAACGATCCAAGCTCACAATGGAAATCAGAAGTGGAATCACTGTTAACATCATGAACTTGATTATGATCGTTTCCAATGCCTAATGTTTTTCCATTTCCAATGAAGGAAAAGGGAAGATTGAAGAATCCTAGCTGCTAAGGAACTGAAAGCCCCTGTTTACGCTTGGTTGGTTTAAATACCCATAAATGGTTTGGATTTCTGAAGATGGAGATGGAAAAACATTAGGCATCTCGCAACACTGCCCTAAAATTGACTCGTAATCGAATCCTTCCAATGGCAACCCTAACAACGACCTCCCCGTCGTCCTCTCCAACGCCTGCCGTCGAATCGAAGCAGCCCTAAGGCAGTCCCCAAGCTTCGATTCCGAAGGATTGAACGAAATCGATGCCGAAAAACCCTAGGAGGTAGATGAAGGAGGAGGCAGTGCATCCGATGCTTTAGGAACCGGAGACGGTGATCGATCGACGATACCGACACCGGAGTGGAGAAAGGGTGGGAGGTGGTGCCAGAGTGGTGGCGGGTGGAAGTGGGGTTTAGGGAGAGAAATGGAGGTGGTGGAGGAGGGGAGCGGGGAGGAGAGGGAGAGGAACATGGCGGAGGGTAGGCGAGAGCTTGAGGCAACGCGATTAAGGGGTTTTCAGACTGCATTTTACCTCTAAATAATTCAGATGAAATCAGATGTTTTAAGCACTTAATTTAAAAAAAAAACAAACGCACTTAATCCCTCAATGTCTGACCGATTCAGACATAAGAGGCAATTAAGTACTTTTTTTTTTAAAACAAACAGCACCTACGATTATTGTCTTCCACTCGATCTCAGATAGGGGAGTTATGCTCTCTTTTTCCGCTAAAAATTTCTGCACGTAGCACACATTAAAGGTGTTGTAGATTACTACCATTTCTGGCGGTAACTCCAACTTGTAGGCTTGGAGTCCAACTCGACTCACTATAATGAATGGTCCAAGAAAATAGGGACTAAGCTTTCCACTTTTCCTGAAAAGGATAATACCCTCCTATGGTGATACCTTCAACACAACTCAGGCTCCCACTTGAAACTCGGCTAGTCTCCTCTTTTTGTCGACGTAACTTTTTTGTGGATTTTGAGCCGACTTCAAATGTTCACGAATACCTTTAACCTTATTCGTCATTTCTTGGATGATCTAGGCTCTAGCAAATCGTGTCTCTCCCGCCTCAAGCCAACACATGGGACTGTTACACTTTCGTCCATACAATGTCTTATATGGTGTCATTGGAGTGGTATGTTATTGTAAGCAAATCATGTACTTGACCGTATCGGATTTCACAACGAGCAACCAATAAATCAATTTTAGGTCTCTGTACATTTTTGTACTTATGCGGGTGAATAGAGTATTTTAACTTGTGAGCATCCTCCGATAGTAATTATCGGCATCCTCCAATTTTAGGCACCCAAACCCAACCTCGAAATTTTTTCAGACCCTCACCATCCTCCGTCAATTGCAAGTGTTGCTTTACCATGATTTCATTCTTAAAGTTAACCTCCAATAATGCTTCGACTTGCTACAGTTTGATTTTCTCAATTAGACACGAGACCACGTTAACCTTTCTACTCAAGCATCTGTCACCACATTATTCTTACCAGGATGGTAAAGCACTTCAGATTCTTAGTCTTTGAGTAATTCCAAACATCTTCTGAGCGGTATAGAGCATGTATTTTGTGTCATATAAGTAGTGACGCCACAACTTTACAGCAAATATTACCACCGCCAACTCCATATCATGGGTTGGTAGCTCCTCTCGTGGTCCTTGAGTTTCTTATATGTATATGCAATCACCTTCCCCGTCGTTGCATAAAAAACACAACCCAAACCCATTTTAGTGGCATCACAAAGTCCTTGTCCCTTCGAGTAAAGATAACATCGGTATCTCGCACAACTTCCTTTGCAAGGTCTTGAATGCCAAGTCTTGAGCATCGAACCATAAAATTTTTATGTTTTTCTTCATCAATTCTGGAAAAATCTTAGATGAATCTTCGTAGTAACCAACCAAACCTAAAAAACTTCAAATCTTATTCAGGATCTTAGGTGATTCCTAGTTCATCATGGCTTCAATCTTGACGGATCTACCTTCACTCCATAATGGGTCACCATGTGACCTAAAAATTGGACCTTATGCAACCAAAAATTGTACTTGGAGAAGTTAGCATAACGCTTATCTTCTTTCAATACTTCCAACACTTCACAGAGACGTTGTTCATGGTCTTTCTCATCTTTAGAATAAACGAGGATGTCATCGATGGACACAATGACATACTTGTCTAGGAAGGCATGACACATCCAATTTAACAAATATAAAACATGACTGACCATTAGTTAGACCAAAATTACAAGGGACTCGTAGTGACCATACTGCATCCTAAATGTCATCTTTGCGACATGATATTCTCTTACTTCCATTTGGTGATAACCCGAACAAAGGTCTATCTTTGAAAAACATATTGCCCCTTGAAGTTGATAAAATAAGTCATCAATCCGGGGACGTAGATATTTATTCTTCATGGTCACCTTATTCAATTCCCGATAGTAGATGCATATTCACATAGTGTTATCCTTCTTTTTGACGAATAAGACTAGAGCTCCCCAAGGCGAAGAACTCGAAATTGACAAAATTCTTCTCAAGCAATTACTATAATTGTTTCATCATTTCTTACATTTCGGCCGATGCAAGATGGCATGGTACACGAGCTATCCTTTCCGCTCCTGGAATTAAGTCAATACAAAAATCCACCTGACGGTCAGGTGACAAACCAAGCAGATCATCTAGAAAGACATCCAGAAACTCACTAACAATCTTCACATCTTAGCATTTATGGGCATTGATCGCTGAAATGATCGCCACTTTTCCCTTACACTTTTTCTCGTAGACTATTAAAGTATTCCCATCCGCTAAGGGCACTCAAATGAATTTCTTTGAACAAAGGATCCCCGCTTGGTTATTTACTTGCTAGTACATCACGATCACTATGTCGAAACCTCCAATAGATATATGTAGTAAATCCACTAGAATTTGTTCTCCCCCGATTTTTGAAGTGCAATCACTAAAGATTTCACGAATAACTTGCTCCCCATTGGCCACTTCCACCACTAAAACGTCCCTAATAGTACGTAAGACACATTTAAAATCTTGCAAAAAAAGAGTTTTCTAAAAAAGAGCAGTTTTCACCTGAATCAAAAAGAACATGAGCAGGTATGGAGTTGAGTAAGAACGTACCCGACACCATATTGGCGGTTTCCTTCGTTTCATCGATTGACATTTGAAAGTCCCTCCCTTGAACACTTGGAGCACTCTCCTTCCTTTCTTGGCTTCCCATGCTACCTCATCTCGAACCATCACTCAACTTGGGCCAATCATTTCTCACGTAACCTATCTATTTTCTCACGTAACCTATCTCT